TATTCCAGAGGGTGGGAGAAGGATGGGGCACCCCAAGTGAGCCGGGCAGAGCTCCAGCATCCCCCGGGGGCTCGGCGGAGAAGGTCTGCCAGCTAACACCCCACAAAGCCCGGCGACAGGCGGCTGCTCCCACCCCGGAATCCCAAGCCACCGCCGGGGGAGCGGGGCGCGGTGCCGCGGGACGAGGGCGCGGAGCGCTCCGGGCTGGGGATGCGCACCGGGACGGGCGCGGCGCCGGAGCCCGGGAACCGCCGGGAACCCACGGGAAACGCCGGGAACCCCCGGGAAACACCCGGGAAACACCCCGGGAACCCCCGGGAACCGCCGGGAACCGCCGGGAACCGCCGGGAACCCCCCGGGAACCCCCCAGGAACCACCGGGAACACCCCGGGAACCCCCCGGGAAAACCCCGGGAACCCCCCGGGAAAAACCCGAGAACCCCCGGGAACCGCCGGGAACCCGCGGGAACCCCCGGGAATCGCCGGGAACACCCGGGAACCGCCGGGAACACCCCAGGAAACACCCGGGAGCCCCCCGGGAACCCCCGGGAACGGCCGGGAAGCGCCGGAGCCCGGGGAGGGTCGGGCTCACCTCCCACGGTGGATTTGTAGTGCCGGTTGAAGCTGTCGTTGGCGTAGCGCTGCACCAGCGAGGTCTTGCCCACCGTGGCGTCGCCCACCACCAGCACCTTGAACATCCGATCGCGCTGCCCCATCCCGGCCCGGCCCGGCCCGGCCCCGTCATGTGAGGCTCGGCCGGGGCGGTGCCCGAGCCGCCCGCGGTGCCGGGATCTGTAGTTCGCTGCCTTGAGCCGGAGCCAGCGTCAGATCCGGCCCCGCGCAGCGCCTGTGCCAGCGGGTCCTGCTGCGAGCACCCCCAAATACTGCTGTGAGCACCTCCAAATACTGCTGTGAGCACCCCCAGATCCTGCTGTGAGCATCCCCAAATACTGCTGTGAGCACCTCCAAATACTGCTGTGAGCACCCCCAGATCCTGCTGTGAGCATCCCCAAATACTGCTGTGAGCACCCCCAAATCCTGCTGTGAGCACCCCCAGATCCTGCTGTGAGCACCCCCAGATCCTGCTCTGAGCACCCCCAGGTCCTGCTGTGAGCATCCCCAAATACTGCTGTGAGCACCCCCAGATCTGCTCTGAGCACCCCCAGATCCTGCTGTGAGCAACCCCAGATCCTGCTGTGAGCACCCCCAGATCCTGCTCTGAGCACCCCCAAATCCTGCTGTGAGCACCCCCAGATCCTGCTGTGAGCACCCCCAGGTCCTGCTGTCAGCACCCCCAAATCCTGCTCTGAGCACCCCCAAATCCTGCTCTGAGCACCCCCAGATCTGCTCTGAGCACCCCCAAATCCTGCTCTGTGCACCCCCAAATCCTGCTCTGTGCATCCCCAGATCTGTTCTGAGCACCCCCAAATCCTGCTCTGTGCATCCCCAGATCCTGCTCTGTGCACCCCCAGATCTGCTCTGAGCACCCCCAGGTCCTGCTGGGAGCACCCCCAGCCCCAGCCCCATGCACCCCTGTTCCCCCAGACCTTGCTCTGTGCACCCCCAGATCCTGCCCTGCACATCCTCTGAATCCCCAGATCCAGCCTGTGCACCCCAAATTCCAGCCCCAGCCCTGTGCACCCCCAAACTCTGCCATGCACATTCTCTGTATCCCCAAATCCAGCCCTAAATCCCCAAACTCCACCCTGCACATCCTCTGAATCCCCAGATTCAGCCCTGTGCACCCCAAATTCCTGCCCCAGACACCTCTGCACCCCCAGATCCAGCCTTGCACCCCCAGATCCAGCCCTGCACATCCTCTGCAACCCCAAATCCACCCCTGTGCTCCCCAAATTCCTGCCCCAGGCACCCCAGGACCCCAGGCCACGCTCCCTGCACCCCACAAACGTGCACAAACACCTCTCCCAACAGATTTCCATTTTGAAACGAGGTTCCCCTGTTGCTGGGATGTGGGAAATTACTTTGTAGAGTTTTTAGGGTGTGACAGAAAGTTTGTAAAGCATGTATTTGTATGCAAACTCATAGGAAATGCTGATTTGGAAATGTTATGGAATAGCACAGATGTTGCTGAGACAGAAATTGAGCTAGAAAAAAGTTTCAAAAGATGATTTTGTAAATAAGATTAGGTACTTTGGAGAAATAGAACTATGAAAGGTACAATGTAATAAGATTTATGAAGAGCAATTTTAGATAAATAATTTTAAAGTATCTACAGCATAGTGTAACGAAATGTTAATAAACTACAAAAACACTTATAGTGTTTTGTAATTAAGAAATAGCTTCTAATTGTAACAGCATAAATCACAACATTTACATTGTCTCACCTTTCTCACAAGACTAAAAATAAAATAAAAGCTTTGAAAACACCTCTGTTACCCCATCTCTAAGTCAGGAAAAGGTTTTATCCAACCCTGCCAGCAGAAACACCTGGATTGCCAGGAGAACACCTGGATTGCCAAAGAAACACCTGGACTGCCAGCAGAACACCTGGATTGCCAGAAACACCTGGATTGACAGGAGGAACACCTGGACTGCCAGCAGAACACCTGGACTGCCAGGAGGAACACCTGGATTGCCAAAGAAACACCTGGACTGCCAGCAGAACACCTGGATTGCCAGAAACACCTGGATTGACAGGAGGAACACCTGGATTGCCAAAGAAACACCTGGATTGCCAGGAGGAACACCTGGATTCCTGCCAGGACCCTCCAGGAGCTGCCAGGACCTGACCAGGGGCAGGGCCGAGGTCACCTGGCACTCACACCAATCCCACCTTGCTCCATGCTCAGCAATTTATTTGATTTTCTCCTATCAAAAGAGCTTCAGCCTGGGCTCAATAAGCTTCAAAACCTGAGAGGGGCCTTCAGCCTGAAGGAGAAAACAAAAGAAACCCCACCACAGTCCACATAAATAAATGTCATCTTTATTTAACCAAATATAATTTATCCATTAGGTCGACATCTGTCAGTTATAGGAACTATAAATAATTAAGACAGTCTTTTTCCTTTAATAAAAGAGTAAACCAGGATTTTCATCTGCAGGCAGCTGTAGAGTAGGCATGCATTGGAGTGCAACCAGTGGGAAGAGGTTTGTTTTTTGTTGTTTTTTTAATCAATATTCCTCATTTTAAATTAAATTCTTCCCTGACCATTCCCCAAGCACACCTTTGACCATATTTAATGTACAGACCCTCCCAGCCCCAGCAGCCCCCACCATGAGAGGCAGATTCCTCCTCTAGGGAATCCTTTCCTGGGGGATTAAGTGGTGATGTGACACCAGACAGGCCAGCAGAGCTGCCCTCTGTATCCATGAAAGCTGAAGTGTTAATGGGAGGAAGTCTTGCATTTATTCCTCAACATCAGGCAGAAAAATCAGGTGAGCAGCTGAGAATATTCCAGGAAATACTCCAGAAAATATTGCAGAGAATGCTCCAGAAGTCCCTGGGCTGAGAGTTCAGCACAGCAGGAACAAAGTTTGTTTTGTGGTTGGGTTTTTTTTTCCCTTTGAGCACAGCTTTGGCCAAAGGAGATCTGAGAAATGTCCCCAGAGGGGACAGAGGAGGGTCAGAGCTGCTCCCACCCGGGACACGGAGCACAGGAGGAGGGGGACTGAGCCTGAGGGTGGATTAACAAGGGGAAAAAGGGGGAAATCATCCCAAAAATACAACACCTGCTCTTCTGAGGGGCTGAGAAGGAGCAGCCTGGAGCCCAGCCCTGCCTCCTGCACAGCACCAGCAGCAGGGAAGGGTCTGCAGAGCTCCAGGGAGGGCTGGAGCATCCAGGAGCCCTGCTCTGGCTCCACCTGCCCCGTGATCTCCAGAACTTCATCCTGAGCCTCTTTTCCAACTCTTCTCTGGAGCTGGAAAAGAACTTCATCCAGACTTTCTTCTTGGCCTTTTCCAACTCGTCTCTGGAGCTGGAAAAGAACTTCATCCAAACTTCATCCTGAGCCTTTTCCGACTCATCTCTGGAGCTGAAAAAGAACTTAGTCCAAACTTCATCCTGACCCTCTCTAACTCGTTTCTGGAGCTGGAAAAGAACTTCATCCAAACTTCATCCCGACCCTCTTTTCCAACTCGTCTCTGGAGCGAGGCCCAGCTCTGCACGCAGCTCCTGGCCTGGCACAGTGAGCCTGGACTAACTTTGGTCTTGGTTTGCCCCTAGCTCTGGTTTTTGCCGCCCTGCCAGCGTGGCCTAAGGGGAAGAGCAGGAATTCCAGGCAGCCCCGAGGAGAAGAGCACAGGAACAGGAGGGGAAGCAGCAGAGGAGGGAACCCTGCACTGCCAGGGTTCAGCCGGGCCCCCCCAGCTGGGCTGAGCCCCCATCCCAGCTCCACACACGGGCAGGGGAGTTCCTGTGCCACAGAGCTGCCCCAACAGCCAGGGCTCCAGTCATCCTGCATGCCCAGCTGTTTTGCAGCTGGCAGGGAAATCCCACAGACACCAGGAGCAAAATGCTCCTGCCCAGGGGAACAGCCCAGGGATGGCAGGATGGAAAAATTGTGTGTCCAGGTGTCCAGGAAGAGTTCCCCAGGGATCCCTTCCTGCCTGCAAGGGCCCCCTCAGCAGCCGAAAGGAAAGCTGGGCACAGAACCAGGAGCTGTTTGTCCATCCATGCGCCCCTCTGGGTGCACTGAGGGAAAGGGAGCAGCACAAGGAGGGCTCCAGCAGGTCCTGCAGAGGGTCCCTGGCAGTGGGGATGGTGTGGGCAGAGCTCCCAGCCCCTCTGGGAGAAGCTCAGAGCAGCTGAGCTGGGCTCACCAAGGCAGAAGCAGCGTGGGTGGCAAAAGGGAGCCTGGAGCTGCCAGCAGAGCCCAGCCAGGGGCTCTCAGATCAGCTCACTCACATTCCTGGGGTGAACACAGGAGCCTTCCTCATCACCCTCCTCATAGACACTCCCCATTTTTGGATGTGGGCCCAGGCTGGAGCTTCAGAGAGCCAAGGCAGGGCTACCCCGTGCCCTGAGCCATGAGGTTGCACTTGGCTGGAAGGTGCCAGCTCAGCTGAACAAACCTGAGCTCGACCTGCAGGGTTTAAAACGCTTATGAAGCGAAAAAAGCAGCCCTTCACCTCGAGGGAGGGGGCAGGGGGGGCTCCCTGCATGATCTGACTGAGCAGGAACTTCACTGGAACCTTGGTTCAGACATGACTGCTATGAAAATTGCACTTAGTGATTGTCTCGTTACACTTTTTGTTTGTTTGTTTGTCCTTCCTAAAACTAGATCGATTTTTCTGTACAAACTTGACTTGAAATATAAACCACGTAAAATTCCCATTGAAAATAATGAGAATCCGGTATCAAAGGTGAAATCTTCCAGGATGGTGGGTTGGTGGCAGGAGGGGGAAGCAAAGAAACAACAAATGGAAGGAGGAGAGCTGTGGGAAGGGAGGAGCAGGGAGATTTAATCCCCAACATCGGAGTCCCGGTCCCCGATGAGCCAGAGCACGTGGAAGCTGAGGGCCAGGAGCCCTGTCCCAATGAGGTCCCCCAGAGCTGTCAGGTACGGGATGGAGAAGTTGTCGGGGTCCAGGTGCCTGCCCCACATCCAGTGCACCATCCAGTCAGCAATGTAGAGCAGGATCAGCACCTGGAACAGCCACAGCTCCTGAGCCCTGCGTGCCACAGCAGCCCTGCCTGCCTTGGGGAGCACAACCTTCCCTGGGCAAAATAACCCCCTGGGCAAAAATAACCCCACGGCTCAAATAACCCCCCCTTGGGCCAAAATAACCCCATGGCAAAAATAACCCCCTCTGGGCCAAAATAACCCCATGGCAAAAATAACCCCCTGGGCAAAATAACCCCCATGGCAAAATAACCCCCGGGCCAAAATAACGCCCTGGGCAAAAATAACCCCACAGCCAAATTACCCCCCCCGGGCCAAAACAACCCCCTCTGGGCAAAATAACCCCCTGGGCCAAAATAACCCCACGGCCAAAATAACCCCATGGCCAAAATAACCCCACCTGGGCCAAAATAACCCCATGGCAAAAATAACCCCACAGCCAAAATAACCCCCGCTAGCCACAATAAATCCCCTGGGCGCAATAACCCCCCTGGCCAAAATAACCCCCCCTGGGCAAAATAACCCCATGGCAAAATAACCCCATGGCAAAATAACCCCATGGCTAAAATAACCCCGCCTGGCAATGACAACAACCCCCTGGGCCAAAATAACCCCGCCTGGCAATGACAACAACCCCCTGGGCCAAAATAACCCCGCCTGGCAATGACAACAACCCCCTGGGCCAAAATAACCCCCCTGGCCACGACAACAACCCCCTGGGCCAAAATAACTCCCCTGGCTAAAATAAAAAAAATTCCACATCCTCTTTTCATCACCAGGCCTTTCCAAATTGCCAAATCACCCCCCAGCACAGATGAGGACACCATCAAAAGGACTTAAAGGAGACAAAAGGCAGACTTTAAACTGCCCAGGAACGGCAGGATGGAAAAACTGTGTGTCCAGGAAGAGCTGCCCAGGGATCCTCTGCCCAGCACAGCACCTTTGGCAGGGACAGCCCCTGTCCGTCTGTCCCCAGGGCAGGTGACAGCCGTGTCCCCCGAGCCAGCCCAGCCCCGAGGGCCCCCAGCTCACCTGGAGCAGCGCTGCTGTCATGTAGAACACGATGAAGATGAGGGTGAGCGTGGTGTGTCCCCCCTGCATGGAGTGGATGGTGTAGAGGAAGACCAGGTGCCCGGGCACCACCAGGAGGAAGAGCACGCGGGCGGAGCGGGAGTTCACGTCTGCAGAGGGGACACCAGACCTGATTTAAACCCTGGCAGTGTCCCAGGGAACCACCCGGGCTGGTGGAAGGCGTCCTGCTCGTGGCACTGGGTGAGATTGAAGGTCCCCTCCCACCCAAACCATGACCCAGCTGAAGGCTGGCAGGGATTTTGGGGTGTGGAGCTGCACTGGATCATCCTGTGGGTCCCTTCTGAAACAGGGGGTTAGAAATTTAATTCAGGGTAAATACCAATTTTGGATTTTTTGTTTAGTCTTTTAACTTGCGTACTCACAAAACGACCTACAGAGAGTGAACAAAGAAGACTCAAAACTACTCAGAAAATAATATTAAAGATAGATAAAAAGAGGCCTACCACTAACTTTGAGACTAAAACAAACAGAAAAATGAAATCTGAACTATAAACGTCACATTACAACTGCGTGATTAAAAAACTGCACAAGCCCATAAAATTAATAAATCAATTTAATGCATATGCATATATCTTTTATGCATGTGCAACAGGTTAGAAGATAAATAGACTCAAGAATTTCCAGAAGTGCACATGTCCTTAAGGAACTGAAATAAATCATACCAACTTTACAACTTTTACAAGTTGTGGGGGTTTTTTCCCACTGTCTAGACTGCAAGGCAATGTCTGCATTCTATTAATCTGTCAGAGCTGGGGCAGCTCTCCTCTGCTCATTGGGCAGTTCTCTTTATCTCCCCACACCCAATCCTTCCTCCAGGAGAGCTCTTCTGTTCATGACCCATTAATTATTAATAATCTTCTATTAATGAGCCATTAATTATTAACAATCTCCTGTTCATGGCCATTGAGTGTCCCTGCATGGCTGAGAAAATTCCATCATCCCATGGGGAGATGCTCTGCCCAGGGGAGGAGCCAAGAATTCCTACCTGGATACAATCTAGGATTTTGGGATACCAAAACAGCCTTTGCCCCCTGCATTCCCAGAGGAGCCCAGGCCCATCCCCACCAGCCCTGGAGCTTCAAAGGAAAACTTCCCCTTTGTGCAGGGTTTTTTTTTTTGGTACTATTGCATTTGTATTTTAATTTTCCTAGTAAAAAACCTGTTATTCCTATTCCTTTTGTTCTGACTCTGTTCTGACTCTGGCAGTGGTTTGTTTTTTGGGTTTGATTGACTCCAGCAGTGGTTTGTTTTTTGGGTTTTTTGGTACTATTTCATTTTTATTATTTATTTTCCCAATAAAGAACTGTTATTTCTATTCCCGTATCTTTTGTTCTGATTCTGGCAGTGGTTTGTTTTTTGGGTTTTTTTTTGTACTATTGCATTTATATTTTAATTTCCCCAGTAAAGAACTGCTTTACACATCTTTACTTGCGAGCCCCCTAATTTCAGAATTCCAATTATCAGGAGGGAGGGGTGTCCTAGGTGATAACATTGGGGTGTATTCCATTACCACCTGGAGCTGCAATCCCCTCTTCCAAGAAGAACAGCTAAAACCTTCTCTACACTAAACCTCCAGAGAGAAACGACATCAGTCTGCAGGACTGTGTCCAGCTCTGGCTCCTCAGTTTGGGAA